AATATGGTTCATGGGGTCACGAAGAGTCGGACACGACTTAACGACTGAACAACAAAAAGCAAGAATATATTCGGCAGCACTCCCAGAAACAGTAAGCAAGTCAGCCCGAACTCATAACGCTGTTTTGACCACTCCATATTCAGTGCCGGCGGATTCCACTGGCTTATGTTTTATGTTACTACCCCACGTATATACCCCGAAAACTGATCTCGATTCCCCTCTCCCTAACACGACCGATACCAGATAGAACGAAGGGAAGCTTTGTGGAAACGTGGTTCCATTACCTTCTTCCCGCCTAGGCCTCCAGTTTCTATAGCAATTAAGCTTCGGTTGGGTTTCCATAACAACCAGAAAACGAAACGTCACAGGGATGGCGGATGGACCTATGGCGATCGGAGCAGTCTATAATAAATGCCTGATATAACCCATGCTTTTGCAGGAATTTTAATTTTGCCGAGACGGACCGAAAAGAATCGGAAGTGAATCTCTAATTCTCCCTCACTCCCCAGCACCAAACAGAGGGGAAAGGGCTGAGAATCAATTAGGCTGGTAAATAGACAACTTCCCACTTCCGGAGGAAGTGAAAGGGACTTCTTGTCCCGCTGTCGCATCGTGCGCCGGGAAAGGAAACGTCTCAAGTAACGCGCGCTTGCTGAGAACGGAAACAAAAACGGTGAGTGTATCCATGCGCGAGTATTTCTGGCATAATCTTCCAAGCTTAAAAAATTGATTCTTTTTAAAAAAAAACCTATTTAAAATAGCCGTTAGATTGCACAATACCTCTCATTACGCTTAAAGTACGCGCTTCGTACTTTGAAGGAAGTACGGGCTGAAATTCGAATAAATGGATATAGAAACACGTAGAGGTTTTGGAGAACTCTATCTATGGAAGCTAACGGGAAGATAGATTTTAGAAATAAGACTTCAAACTTTCAAATAGTAGAGAATAAGTGTGGACCTGCTAAATCTCTACAGTATATGGCTGCCTTTATTGATTGCAGCGTGAAAAGTTAATATACAATCCTCCCTCTGAAATAAAAAGGACTCAACAGTGAAACCCTATAGATGCATTCAGATAGTTTCTGGGAAATAAAACTATAATATACGTTTCTGATGAAATACTGTTCTTTTTTTTTTTCTTTTTCTTCTTTTAACCCATAATAGCCATCATATTCTAAAACTGGAAATTGTGGCTGGCAATTCTGAAAAGGTCACTGTTGATTTAGAACAACTAATACTGTAAGAATAACTGTTTTTATTCTGGATAAGGTAAATGCTGTGAAATGAGGGCAGTTGTGGCTGAAAAGGAGTTGGAGAAGGTATACCTGATAATTAAAACTAGGGAAAATGATGGAAGCTGTTAGGGGAATTGATGAATAAAGAAACAGCTCTTAGGTAAATAAAAGGACAGGAAAGCTAATGGATTGGTAGCTTATAATAGGGAAGCTGAAAATATAATGTGGAAATATAGGCAAGGAATAGGCTGTTGAGAGGAGTAGCTTTAAATGCTGATAAATTATTAAGCTTTCAGTAAAACTAAGGTGTCAAGATAAAAATGAATTGAAAAGTATCCCAATACGAATCTTGCAAGCAGCTGTAAGCACATTAAATAACTAGCAAAGCAATCAAATATTGGAATGACATTTTTCAGCTCTGTTTTAAAGGTGTTTTTTTTTTTTTCCTTTCTAAGACCC